TAATATGTGTCCTTTAAGTCTTTAAGTCTATACGTCAATATTATTTCTATTGGTAGCACAAAGGAGATACCCTTATATTAATGACACTATTATTACCAGCAGTAATACAGAGCTAGGGGTCATTTCAAGAAGAGGACTTCGTGAAACCACCACTACGTCCCTAATCACAAACAAGTGATGAATCCTCTCCTTGACAACCCACACAATTATATTGTTCAACAGCCAAATGAGGAACAGAGAGAAGAAAAGACAGGCTCCTAATCAAATGCCATCTTTCCTGTGCTTTGCAAAGGCCACAATGACATGGTGGTTGCTACACTCCCAGGGTTTCTATTGTATTGTTTCTATAGCATACCTGCTGGCTGTGAATGTGGGGTTGAAAATATGTAATTGAGTTCTGACAAATAATTAGTTTTAAAAAATATTAGGAATGTAACAATATTCCAAATTTCATAATATGGATCTCACTGTACAATATTTAGTAAAGGCTAAGAAAATTGTGAATGTGGTATTTTTTTCCTTTTGAAATGCCTTGACAAGACTTTGAGTCACAATCCAAGGAACTTAGATTTAAAAGTGCTTATAACAGTTATTTCTTCATGTAGTCTACACTGAAACAGAGCAAAGGATCATGGTCTATGTAGTTCCCTCAGTTTTTTAGCTATTGCTGCACCATAACTCTTAATTTAAGCAAAGAGACTTGTAATTCAATATATTGTAATTAGTCCAACAATATTATTGAGACTTTTGGCAATACAATATCACAATATTTTGATAATGATTATATCCCTAATAAATATTGTGAATGTGATTAGCTTTGTGATTCATGTTTTAATAATAGAATTATGTTCAACGTTCACATTTTATATAAAAAAAAACAAACTGCAATATGAATTATTATTATTATTATTAATTCAAGAATCACATTTCCTAACATGTTTGTACGATTTTAAACTACAGGGTTTTACAGCGTTTTTCTGTAGAACATCTAAATGACGGTACTTTTGCAACCTCTAACCTTTGATCATTTGCTAATTGCGTTCATTCAAATATGATCTTGCAGCTTTTGTATAAAGTAATCTAACATTCATTATATGGACTGAATGAAGTAACACACAGATGCATTTTTGTAAAGCTCCAGAACCTTAATTTACCTTCATCATGTAAGTGATGGATAAGCTGTGGGTCCTTGAACCCGTTTGAAGAAGTGGCATTGCTCACACTTCATTATCCCCTGGCAGCAGATGTCAATAGTGTCCCTCTTGGGGTAAACAACAATAGACCGAGCTATTAAAAGAATATTGGAAAGGAAACTAGATTGACAGCTGTATTTTGCCTATGACATGATTAAAGAGGATCAAACTACAGACAGAAATAATGTTGTGATGTGCTTTCTATGCATGGTGGAAGGCAGGCCAGAATGTATGGTGCATTGTTAATATAGCCTGTAAATATGTATCTGTATATACTGTATCTGTAAATGATGTACATGGTTTAAAATATCTCTTGTGAATGTGGTGGCATTACTCTTTAATAGGGATGTAACAATAACTGAAATATCGTGATATCGTATCATCAAAGTTCTTACAATAATATCGTGGGCCATCACCATCCATCCATCCATCCATCCATTTTCGTCCGCTTATCCGGGGCCGGGTCGCGGGGGCCATCACAATATATCAAATTACAAGTCTCTTTGCTTAAATTAAGAGTTATGGTGCAGCAATATCTAAAAAACAGAGGCAACTACATAGACCATGATCCTTTGCTTCATTTCAGTGTAGACTACAAGAAGAACTAGCAGTTTTAAGCACTTTTAAATCTTCATTCTTTGGATTAAGATTTGTCAAGTCATTTTAAGATGAAAAAGTTGCATATTAATAGTTTTTTTGGCCTCCACAAAATGTCGCAAAAAGATATTGTACAGTGAGATGTATATCATGAAAATATCGTACAGAGAGATTTGGATATTGTTACATGCAATATATCGCAGTAAATATCGTACCGTGAGGTTTATACCGTGACGATATTGTATTGTGAGACTTGGATATTGTTACACCCCTACTCTTTAAGTCACAAGTATAATGTGTACTATATACCAAATCTATGGACACAAGCCCTTAAAAAACGATAAAGACAAAGATAAAGATAAAGATTGGTTATTTTATTTGAATAGCCCTCAAATCAGAAATCAGAAATAATGGCACCAAAGATTTCTAATTGTTATCATAGACTGTATAGGAATGGACATAACTAACCCATTGGTTGCTACGTTCCAAATAGGAAGTGTTCATGGGCATGCCTCCAAGTCCATCGACTGTTTCCAGCTGAATTTACATTACCAGATTGTCACCTGTCTCTGTCACTACTGCAGTCAACCTCACCATGATTTGACAGGAGCCGAACATTGTGGGTGACTTCACACTCGCTTAGTCCACATCTTTATACTCTCTGTGATTACGGTACAATAGGCAGCTTCCATTCATCTCCCTCCACACATTTCCCTGTATGTATTTTTATATATTGAGGTTATGTTCGCCTGGTTTTTATACACTGCGGGTAGAATCTCACAAACTAAAATAGCCTGATCCTTCTCAGTGTGAGAAATCCCCCTTTTCTCCCTCTGCTCTGTGGATTATTGCTTCCATCTCTGCCTTTTGTGCTGTGATCTGTTCAATTTATGGCTGCCACCCACATCTTCTTGGCCTTTTTTCAGCTTTTTCCCTTACACGTGAAAAGTCAATTTGGGTTTCCTTTATAGAATAAGATGTCCTGAAATAAATGCTCCTATGTTGGTTGAACAATGGTCGTGTCAAGTACAGAGAAATGTTCTGTCAATACTCACATGTTTGATTGATCTGTTGCAACTGGAAATTATATTAAGATGTATTTCCGATTAGGTTAAAGGAACTGTATGTAGGGGTGGGGATTCAGATCAGAGAGAGTTCATTTAGATTTTAACCAACTGGATTTCAGCTTTGAGACTGGTAACTTAAATGAGAGACTCACGTGAGACTCATTCTGCTTTCTGAGAACCAAAACACCAAATTACAAACAACTTGGCCATCATGTACAATGTGTTTTGTAATTAAAGACAAATCAGCAGAGGTGGGACCAAGTCATTGTTTTGCAAGTCTCAAGTAAGTCTCAAGTCTTTCACCTCAAGTCCGAGTCAAGTTCCAAGTCAAATACAGGCAAGTCCAAGTCAAGTCTCGAGTCACTGGTCCATAAGTCCAAGTCAAGCCCAAGTCGTCTGCTTTGAGTTTCAAGTTCTTTCAAGTCTTTAAAACCAAATATAGGTTAGATTTTTGCAGTTTATATGACTTTTAAACTAAATTGTTCTTTAAAAATCATAGTATATTTATATATGAGTATTTATAGAGTATGTAAGAGTTGTAGAAATTCATTTAATAAAATGTTTCCTTTTTAAATGTCTTGACAAGATCTTAGAGTGAATCATGACGGTCAGAATAGAAAGAATTCAGATTTAAAAGTGCTTCTCACGTCCTCTCAAGTCACAGGCCTCAAGTCTGAGTCAAGTCCCAAGTTAATGGCCTTCAAGTCCAAGTCGAGTCCCAAGTCTTATTCCATTTTATCAAGTCAAGTCTCAAGTCCTAAAAATAGTGACTCAAGTCCGACTTGAGTCCAAGTTCCGACTTGCAAGTCCCCACTTCTGCAAATCAATATTACAATTGTTACCAGTAAGAACTGTATTTGACTTGAACATTTCTACCTTGTATGTGGGGACACAGTTAAAGATGCACTATGTAACTTTTTGGTTAGGGGTCTGTCACCTGCTTCTTTCTATGGATATGTCACCACTTGGTCTACAATCGTCCACAGTATGACATTAAACTTCTTTAATTTATATTTATTCTAATGCAGGTGGTTTTATAAATCAAATATACTGGAATTCTGACTGTGAGCGGTTTTGTCTCTCCACAAATTTGACCTGTAACTTGTTTTTTTTGGGGGGGGGGTTTCTACGTGGAGATAGAATGGTTTAATGACATACTGTGAAAACTTCCAGACAAAGCAATAACATCTCAATGGAGAAAAGCATTTAACTGACCCAACACCAGAAAAGTTACACAAAGCACCTCTGAGTAATGTTTAATTTAAAATCTAAATCTTACAAATGGTTCTTTTAAAAATTCTCTATGTAACTTTTCTGGTGGGTGGGCCTGCTTTTCTCCATAGATATGTTATTTACTTGTAAAGAATGATTCTCAGTATGGCATTAAACTAATCTCATCTCCATATTCACCCTGTTTGGTGTCTGTGTACACAGTGTTTATGAAGGGATCAGTGGTTCTCTATTAATGTTGTACATTTCAAAGTAAGCAAAAAAATAATTTCACTTACCCACTTGTTTGATTTTATTTCACAGAGAAGCTCATTTTCAAACTTTATCTCATTAATTTTCCTCAAAGTCGTTTGTGGTCACTGCACCCGCTCACTCGGCCCTTTGTCGTGCAGAGTGGCGCCCACAGTCTCAATTTGCAGGTGCTGCTCTGAGCCTGTCATATCACGACGCTCCATTGAGCTCTAAAAATAACCTGAGGAATGTGAAGTCCAGCTTATAATGACCACACAACTGTCTCGTCTTTGGCTGTAACGAGGAAAAATACACGCTTTTTCAGATCGCTGGCAATAAAGCAGTCACGAAGACCCCCTGACATGGGACTGGGCGGACAGATGCTCCAATGACAAACTAGTAGGGCTGCCGGGGTTATGTAAGCGGCTGGGAGTGGATTGATCAGCTCCCTACCCGCTGTTCTGTGCCTCATTATCAGATGACATGGGTCTTTGGAGCAATGGGAGAAACCAAGTCTGCGTTCCTGTGATCATGTGACCCGTGTGTACCAGCGTAGACTCATACTTGTGTCTGCTTTAGTGTGTTCTGTAAGGGAATTGATGGACAAACTTGTTGTGTTGGTCTGTGTGGAGAGCTTGGCTAATGCATTATCTGTGCAGAAACCTGTGTGTTCCTTTTGCAGACTGAGGACTCGGAAACCATGAACAAGGTGAAGAACTTCAAGAGGCGCTTCTCATTGTCTGTCCCCCGTACCGAGACCATAGAGGAGAATGAATTCACAGAGCAGATCAACCAGCTGAACATCAGACACACTCAAGGTAAAGTCCTATACTTACAGTAGTGTTTCTCAAATGATGGTACACAGACTGATTCTGGTGTGCGAGATCTTTTGCAGTTCTTGTTTGTTTAATTTTTTGTCAAATTTCTTGAACAAACGATAATACTGAAACTGATTTATGCCACTGACACAATAACCCAAGAGCAGATTTATACCACAAAATCTATTCTAAATCTACAGTATTGTTAAAGAAAAACATGAGTTGAAATAAATAAATACCAGAATGAAACACTTACCTAGTAGTTTGCATCTGTAATGAGTCACAGAAATTATTAATTCAGCCTTCTACAGCTTAAATCTGAATTTAAAAAATAACTACAGATGTCCCAATGGTGCAAAGAAAATGTGCACACGATAAATACTGGCCCCAAAAATATTGTTCCAGCTTTCATATACTGAATGATAAGTCAATGTAGTAATTATTGTTGTATAGAAGTACTGGTTTAGTTCAGAGCTGGAATAGTCCTGTTTTAAACCTGATTTAGTACTGGTCATGCTCAGAGAGACAAATATTTTTTTAGGTGGTACTTGGTATGAAAAGTTTGAGAACCACTCTCTAAGAAGAACCAGGTTTTGTAAATGTGGTTGAAGAAAGGTGTTTTCTTATTTTGAGTATTGTCGGGAAATTTGACAGGGTATGATCTTGTACTTGCAGTGGTTGTTAAATCCATTGTTTTTATTCTGCCTGTGGTGCATTTACGGTGGCCGGCAAGTGCAAAACACTTTTACATTTTATGACACATTAACAAGTTTGAAAATAAAATTACATCTATTATACAGATATACATCTTGAAAACAAATTTACGTTTCATAAAACACATTTACAAATGTGCAAACAAATTTACATAACATGAAACACTTGTACAAGTGCAGAGACAAATTTACATGTAGCAAAAACACAAATACAAACCCCCGAAACACAATAACAAGAACGTTCTTGACGGAAAGGGAATGTCCTAAAAAGTGGAAGTGACAAACAACATGCGGGACAAGCAGGAAGTGAAAAGCGATTCAGCAGAAATAAGAAAGATATGTTCTGATGACAGTAAAGCTCTGACTACAGCTGTGTCAAACTTATTTGACAGTTTTGTGGGTTATGGCCATATTTTATGTTTACATTTGTGTTGATGATGATTTCGTAAAGTTAAGTGTGTACTTACATGACAATTCATCACATCTGTTTTTTAGGACATTCCCTTTCCGTCAAGAACTTTCTTGTTATTGTGTTTCGGGGATTTGTATTTGTGTTTTTGCTACATGTAAATTTGTCTCTGCACTTGTACAAGTGTTTTGTAAATTTGTTTGCTCATTTGCAAATGTGTTTTATGGAATGTAAATTTCTTTTCAAGATGTAAATGTGTATTTTAAATGTAATTTTGTTTTAGACTTGTTAATGTGTGTTGTGAAATGTAAAAGTGTTTTGCACTTGCCAGCCACCTTATGCATTAAAGGTGTTGTACCTGATTTTTACTGTCTGTGTTCATGTGAAAAACAAGGAAAGGAGAAAATTCAGTTTGTCAACTGGACCAAAGTTAGTTTGTTTGAAGATGTTTCGCAGCACATCCAAGCTGCTTCTTCAGTTCTGGTCAGAATGCTGGTGGACACTTTCTTATATTTGTAGGGAGGAGCTAACTAACTGAAACTAACACACACACTTGTTTACAGTTTCTGTTTGTTAGTTCGGCCTGTTGACCTGTACAGGGTGTGGGGTCTAATTGATTTAGGTTTGAGGATGGAGTTGCATCTGTCTCCTATTTACAACTCCATCCTCAAACCTAAATCAAAACAAACAAGAGAACAATAGGTGTATCCAGGTCAGGTCCAGAGGTGTGGAAGCTCCTTTATGGCCATGAATTGTTATGCTAATTAGACCCCACACCCTGTACAGGTCAATAGGCCGAACTAACAAACAGAAACTGTAAACAAGTGTGTGTGTTAGTTTCAGTGTAGTTAGCTCCTCCCTACAGATATAAGAAAGTGTCCACCAGCATTCTGACCAGAACTGAAGAAGCAGCTTGGATGTGCTGCGAAACATCTTCAAACAAACTAACTTTGGTCCAGTCGACAAACAGAATTTTCTCCTCGCTTTGGATTCTCCCTGGACGACTGAGGGATTCTTCTCACGTGAAAAACAAGTTCATTTATAACTGTTTGCAATGGTCCAAATTCATTGTTTCCTTTCCTAATCTCGGAATTAAATGTTTTACTACATTGATTTTATAAGAGCTTTTCACAGAGAGGAGTTTTGCAGTCACAGTAATGCTAACAACAATTTGCATGCAAAGTCACACTTCCTGGTTCTTGGGCAATAAAAAGCTTTAGATGCAGACACCACACATCTGTCTCATTTTGATGCTTAGAGCTGCTTTTACAATGAATCTATATTGTGGCAAAACTAAATTTGCTCAACTACATGGAAAAGATTGGGAACAGCCACTGTAAAAGTTCCTGGAATAATATATTTAAGAATATTAGAGGAAGTGTCTTCTTTATGCATGTCCAAAAAAAGTGCTTTGTTGCTAATAGCGCTCATATGGCGTTTTCCTGGCTACAGCTGTGATCAGACTTCAAAGAGATGCTGGTCACAGGGATAAGAAGAATACACTGCAATCAGCCTTTGAGTGGCTCTGCTTTATTATGGAGAATCTAACTGTTACCATGGCACATAGGGACAACAATCAAATATCGGGGCTTATGTATGCTGCTCTATACAGGAAATCAATAGTAAAGTGTTTCAGTAATGATGTGTGACTGAAGAGCACATTTACTTCAGCAACTATTACAGTTTAAAGGTCATATATTATGCAATATTGACTCTTGTGACCTTTTATGTTATAATGTTGTTACCTTCTCAAACCATAGCTGGAGTTGTGTTTTGTTTCATTCACACATGTTATAGAAACTCTTTTTTTTGTCTGTCTACATCCCCAAAGATCAAAATGCCTAAACTTGCTCAAATGAAGCCTTAGTTTTCAAGTTAACAGCTACCTTTTGTCTTTAGTTCAGCAGAGATTGGCAATTCGAGGTATGAAATCATCCAGATGACTCTAGTGATGGTGTATGGAGTCTAAAAACACAGTGGAGCTTGTTTTCATCCTAAATATGCAGGGTTTCTTTCTGATGAGGAAACAGCATTATAACATAAATCAGAAAATAGCGCAATATGAGTAGCATTTGACGATACTCCTGTCTTTATTGGTGGATTTCTGCTTCTGTGGAATGTGATGATGTTATATACACCCAAACGAAGGCAAGAGACTTATTGATGACATTGTATTCTAATATAAAATATCCAAAAGGTAAAGTCACAAAAGTTAAACCTGATAATTTCGACTAACAGCATGTTCCATATAAAATGTTATTACGTTATCTGAAACCCAGCAGCAGTGTCTATGTGAACTCTCATTGATTGCCCATTGTTAATGTTAATTACTGGGCTGAAGTTTTATATTTGGAATATACATAATTACTGAATGTTTAGTTTATGCAGTAAATTATGTCTTTCTTTTCTGTTTACTGTTTCTTTACAGTTAACACTCAATTGTAAAGTCATAGTAATAGTGATGACGCAACATGAAAACAAATTGGATACTTCATTTTACAGTTGTATTTGTTTGTATCCCCATCCTTGTTTAAAATGATCAAACTTATTTGTGAGAAAATGACTCACGGTGAGCCGAGACACTTTCTGTGAATAGACGTGAGGTGAGAACAGATGCTGGCTCCGCATGCCGAGGAAACACCAACACCGACTGCATAAATATGAGTTTGAGAGGCCTGTAATCAAGTGGCTTCATCAGAACTGCTTGTACAGCTTCTCCAGACCGTTTAAATGTGCATGTTGGTATATTTTCAGGTGCAAAATTATGTTATCACCCTTCATTTTACATTGAAAATTGCCTAGTTTAACAGAACATTTTAGTAGGCCTCTCACAGTAATTACTATCTTATCGTTTTATATATGAAAGCTGGAACAACAATATTCTTGTTCAGTATTTATTGTGTGTAGATTTCTTTGCACTATTGTCAAATGTTTTGTTATTTTTTGGCAGTTTCATAAAATGTAAGCTTAAGGTTGAGTTCATAATTTCTATTCTGCTGTTTATTTATCGCAGCTCATGTTACAGTATTGTACATTTAGAATAGTTTTTGTGATTTAAATCTCTCTCTTAGGTTATTGTGTCAGTGGCATAAATTAGTTTAAATATTATCATTTATCTTCTATATTTTCTTCAGCAATATATCACACTTCAAAATTTGTCATGACAGGCCTACAATTTAGAGGAAACCATGGCAAATTGTCTTTTTAGAGCTCTTAACCATGGTATAGTGTTATTGTTCCTTTATTAAATCTTCCACCTGAAGCTGTTTTTATTTATTCATGCTCTTTTGGGTAACTCATTGTGGATCCATCTCCATCCAGTCCAGTTCATTCTAATCAACAGCACTCAAAATATTTGCCACTCACTTCTTACATCTAGTCCTCTCAGAATTATAGGGTTTTATCTGCTCTATCTGGGTATAGTTCTGAGATTAAAGTTTAAAGTTCTGACCTCACATTGAGCACAGTGGAATTGGGAAATGTTTTTTGCGCAAAAACCTAAAGCATACATTACCAAAGCTTGCAAAATTGTGATAAAAATTGCAGAAGATATTCAGAAACAAGAACATTTTGCTCTATTTTCTGATCCTCTGAGTTGTGTATAGTTTCATTCACACGTTTTACACACAAATCCTGCATATTTGTTTTTCTCTCTGTTCTACCTTGCCATGTAGTAACACAGAAAGGGCTTTACTGTGTTTTTGAACTCCATACACCTTCACTAGAATCATTTGGGTAATTTCAACCCTGGAATTGCCAATCTCTCCTTAACTAAAGGTGAAAGGTATAGCTGTTCACTTGAAACCACTTGATGACAACACAAAGTGGAACAGAGCATTTTGAGCTTTGGAGGTGTAGAGAGACTAAAAATGCAGGGTTAAGTAGATATGTGTGAATGAAACAAAATGCAACTCCAAGTATGTTTTTGATGAGACATATTTTTAATAACTTAATAACTCCACAATTTCAACAAAACATCAGATAAAACCACAGACTGCAGAAGCTTATAATTCTAAAGGGACAATTTGTCTGTTGAAATCCATGAAGCTAAGCCAGCTGTCTGTACTCATTAATCAGAGTTCTGCTGATCATTTTGTTGCTCAAATTGCCTCCTCAACACAGTTCAGCTTTCAAGACAGATGCACTTTGCTTTTAAAGGCTAGGCTGCAGAGCTATACTGCCATTAACGATAATATTTAAACTACTTTACTGATACAAAAGCAATAATGCATGATAATCTCAGTAAACCATTGTTTCCCAAAGACTGGGTTGCGACCCTCAGGTGGGTCTCAAGAGATTTTTGGGGGGTCTCCTTGTCACTATCTGCATGTACGTCTGCAATATATAGTTGTATACATGGATCTGTGACCTTATCGTCATTCTGGATGAGCATGTCATCAGAATATCCTGTCCTCTGTAGGGACAGTATTTCTATGCTTATTCCTTTCACTACTACATATATGTGTGAATTGGGAATTTCTGTGCTCACAAAAATGAACACAAAGCACAGAAACAGACTGAATGCTACACCTGCGCTCTTCTCCTGCACCCCGGACTGGAATGTGCTACAAAAACGCAGAGGCCCGCCTATCTCATTAGAAATGTTCAAATGTTAAGACATGTTTTGTATAATTTCTAATCTTTCTGTAATTATTTTATTGACTATTTGGTTCCAATATTGCTGGTTTAATTGTATGTTGAAAAGGAAAAAAAAGTCCAAATAAGCGACGTATGGATGCCTTTTATTGCTGGTTCAAGTGCTGTTTTCATTGTTTAAAACTTGAGTAATACTAATTGTTCAGAGACACAATCACTCAATCAACAATAAAATATCCTCATTAATGTTCAGTAATGGTCAAATCCACCTTTATTTTGTGATTTACAATGAATGTCTATTGACTTTGGTCGTGAAGGTTTGTGACTTTTAAAATATGGGTCCCCAGAAAAAAAGTTTGGGAAACACTGCAGTAAACCATTTTAAATACAGTATCATTCAAAAGGCCTGAGCTGCAAAAAATAAATAGAAGAATTGACCAGTGTTTAGTCTTAGAAGTTAGTTATTCAACCTTCTACAGTTCATATCTTATTGAATGACAAAAACAAAATACCCCAAATGTACAAAGAATATATGCACACGAGAATTAGGCCAACTGCTAGGGCTCTGATTTCTTCCACTTTGCTGTTGTCCAATGCTCTACATATAAAACTGGTGAAGTCCCAAACATAGACACAGTACACGGCGCAGTTTGGGACAGAGTACAGCCTGGAGAGAGCGTGTGGAGAACCATATTGGATTGTCCTTTTGCAAACAAGTTGTCCAGCAGGAGGCCTTTCAATATCTCACAGCTATTGGGATCAGTGTGTGCTCGTGTGCTCATATTAGCCTGACCTTCATTAGTATTGAGAGATCAAAGGGGCACTAGCTGTGAAATTCAAATGAACACAAAACTGGTAGGCAGTTCACACACACACACACACACATACGCACACACCTTTCATTTCAAGTCTCTTCATTCAGACTTTATTTATATGCCATGGTTTTGTCTTTTTGTGAGAAAAAGAAAATACATATTCAGTAATGAAAATGTCAAAAAAAAAAAAAAGCCAATGTTTCTGAGATTAATATGAATGTTAGATTAACTTTATAATATAGACACAGCAAGAGGCAATCGCATTTGTGTAAATCAGAACCTTTTTATTTGTATTAGCCTTCTGTAATATATAATTTATAATATGATAGTCAGTCTGTGTGGCTTTTAACAAATTGTGCTGTGGTTTGTCTTTCCTGTATCAAAATTATAGGCCAAATTTGGAATATTGTCATGAACTAATGTTAATTAATGTGCACTTAATTAATAACCACTACCCCTAACATACTGTAAATTAGGGGTGTTTACAAAAATACTGATATATTGATATATCGTGATACTAAATATGGTGATACAGTATTGCTCTCATGGGCTGCTGTATCTATATATCAAGAGTATTTTTTGGTATATTTAAGCAATTTCATTTGTGGCTGCATTACAATTTTGCTGCTTATTTGGAAAGAAACTTGACATACATACACTTGACATATTCACTGTTTTGATTATTAAAATAGATGTGTTTAATATTAACTTTGCACAAGTAATGGTTTAACAAAGAAATATTGTTGCTAAAATGTATCTGGGTCTTAAAACACAGCAATATCGTGATAATATCGTATCGTGATCCATGTATTGTGTATCTTTTTGTATCATGACGGACTCTGTGATTGCCAACCCTTCTGTAAACAAGAAATTTGATTATCATCTAGTAAATATTAAGGAATTTGGTCACTGATACTGATAAATGTTGGACGCTCTATCTCAATTATTACCAGTAGTGCAATTTATCTTGCCTCTAACAGTAACCTGGTTTGTGAATCAAGCTCAATAATGGTAAAAAAAAAAAAGTGCTATTTCAATGTCACAATACTGTTAACAATAAATAGTAGTGTGATTGTTTATGTTCTTTTATATAAATTTGACTAGTTGCATTTGATTTGACTCAGGTCTATTTGTGTGGGTTTATTTAATCCATACAGTGCAGGTAATAATCATGCACCAGGTCATGGGTCATTATTAATCATGAAGTATTATATTAAGATATGTTAAGCTGGAGGACTTCATGAGCTATTCAATATTAATCCTCGACAACCAGAGCCGCCAGCGTCTTTAACCGTTGTCTTGTCCCCATGGAAACTGAGACTTAAAGCACCTCTCCCCATGAGAAAACAGCTGTTACACACACATATACACATATACTCACACTCACACACAAACACACACACGCCTACACACACCATCATTCACGATCAGACTCCTCTGAAAGCATAAAGCAAAGCGCGTTCACTAGGGCATCAAACGCGCAACCCTCCACTGAGAACAAATGAGGATCAAAGTGGACCGCAGTGGCAGCTTTTTTAATTGTCCGATTCAGTGAAACTACATGTACTGGTCTGTCCACTGCACCACGCTTTGATCAGATCGCTTTGTGCTCAAACAAAAGAACCTCTTTGTAAAGCATTCGATATTCATTTATTTTGGTGAAAGAAAGCTGCTTATAAAAGAGGAATTGTTGTTTTTGTTCTAAATAGTGTGTCTAGAGTGAAATGATATGTGACAGACTTAGGACTTATGTATTTTTTACCATCTACTTAAGGAAGACTGGATGCATTAGCTTGGTAAACATGAATTGTTAATTTATGGTCCTATATTACAATATTTTCTGATCTATGTTATAATGTTTCCTCATCCAAAATTTACCTGAAGTTGTGTTTTGTTTCATTCACTTATGTGAACTCACACACACATGCAAACCCTGCATCTTCATTTCTTTCCTCAAACTGAACTCTGTTCGAACCTTGTGATTTCATGTGATAATATAGGTAGAGTTTCACTGTGTTTTTACTTCATACATCTTCACTAGAATCATTTGGATAATTTCGGTCCTGGAATTGCCAATCTTTACTAAACAAGGTAAAAGGTAGCAGTTGACTTGACCACTACATGACATCACAAGCTGTAACAGAACATTTTGAGCTTTGGAGAAGATAGACTAATAACAAGTTACTCTAACATGAGGAGGTAACAACATTGTAACATGACTAAAAGCTCATATGAGTCAAATTTGGACCTTTCAAGAATAAAATTTTGGTCTTTTATAGAGCAAGACATATATGATCTGTCAGTGAGTGAAGCTCTTTATAAAGATGTTTAGATGCTTTTCATTTTCTATATGTTTATTCATACAGTTGTCTAGTTTCTATAAATCTATGTGTAAACTGATATGCTAAAAATGTGATTATACGGTAACATAATAATCATAAGCTTCAATACAGCAGGAATAAATACTTCATTCATAATGAACAAATAGCTAATTAAGAATGATTCAGTCAGTCAAACAGTTTATAATTAGATGCAGGCAGTACACAGCTGTCTTATACAATATATATGTACTGGGCAAGAAAATACATGGAATAAATGACTTATTGAGCAAATAGTTTAAGTATGATTCAGGCTTAAAATTACTAACATCCCAATTAATACCCTAACTCCCAACCCCTTGATTAAGTAGTTAATAACTCTGAATCATTCTTAATAAACTATTTATTTATTGCTAATTGTAGGTACACCATGTAACTTTTTGGTTGGGGGTCTGTCACCTGCTTGTTTCTATGAAGATGCCATTGCTCTGCCGGAAATGTTCCACGGTATGACATTAAACAGCTCAATGTTGCATTTATTCAATTACAGGTATTATAGGCATTCTGACATTGAGTGGGGTTGCCTCTCTACAGATCTGACCTGTAACTTGGTCTGGTTTGGTCTCCATGCAGACAGAAACATTTAATATCATACTGGGATCATTTTCAGACAAAGCAATAACATCTACATGGTGGAAAGAATTTGACGGACCTCTATCAGAAAAGTTACACAATGCACCTTTAAGTCTTCAGTTCATTTTTTAAGTCTTGTTGTTATGTTTATTCGTTGAGTACAAACAATGTCAAATGATATTTCACCAGTGGTTTCTCATTCTCATTTCAGTACTTTCTTCTCATTGTCCAGGCCTGACACCAGATCGGTTGGGTTCAGCTTCATATGATGCCAGTCCCGTGAGCCCGGAGCCCACCACACCCAGCGCCCACTCCCCCTCCCACCTGCACTACCACAGCAAGGCCCAGCACAGGCGCTTCTCTATGGAGGTGAGGCCACGTAGACCGGGTGCCCTGTCCTAGAACACTCAGTAATAAGGTCTATTTAAAAAGGCTTCTATAATTTCAATAAGACCCAACTACGTCAACGCATAATAGGACTTGTAATTGGGTCAACAGGAGAAAATTGGCCATTCAGCACATTATAAAAACAACTATTTCTATCACTGTTATGTCATATGAAATGTTTTATTGTTATTACGTATATGTAATCACATTTCTTTAATCACATTTATTTACAATGCACAGCTTTATTATTTATTGATTTATTTATTTTTGAGTATATTTTAATTTCACAAGGTCAGTTGTCAAAATATAGGTTCATACACATCCTCTTTTTTTTAAACACCTATTTTTTCCCATTTTTCCCATCCCATTCCATCCAGCTTTATGTATTTATTGTTTATTTGAATGGGTACGGATACAACAAACACAGATTAACTATTCAGTAATTTGACACAGGGATCGCAGTGTTTATAGCCAAGGCTCATTCATGACCCCAGTCCCCAGAAGGGCTTTTAAACTGTTCCTTAAAAAGCAGTGGGATATAGAAAAAGCAATGAATGCTGTGAATTTGTGAAGAAAATCAAAATCTGAGACTACACACAAAGTGACTTCTGATAGGCTTCTTTTTTTTTTTTTTTTTTTTTTCTTCCAAATTTTTCACATCAGGCACCACCTATGATATAATGTGGTTTTCCATCAGATCTAAACCCAGGCTTTATCAGGCCAATATTAAAGCTACACAAGGCCTAAAATTAGACTAAATCAAGTTGATAATAGGACTTATGGATAAGTTAGTTCAAAATAATAATTAACTCAAAGGAGGATGTTGTAGAAGTTTTCAGCTCGTCCAAGAAAGGGTGGAAGTAAAAGTCTGGAGACCAACTGGATGTCTTACATGGGAGAAGTTTATTTACCATCAATAATACGTGCTCGGGGGGACTTAAAAAGTCAACATTGTATGATTTCAAAAGTGAACATAGTATGATCTTTGAGTGTTCAAGCCCCTTGATTCTGCTTCCAGAGGAGGAGGTTTATAAAGCGAGTGTGGTGAGACTTTGAAGGCCAGTAGACACTAGTTAGACAGCATTATGCCACAATTTAGATAGTGGTTTGCCAATGGTATGCCAAGGGAAGATCATGGTGTAAATATTGTACATCAAGGTTAAACTGAGAGATGCACGTAGAGGGTAAATTACTTTCTCTTAATTTCTCTTACAGAGGACACCTTAATGTCCATCAGTATCACTGGGCCAAAGAGGAGCAGTGATGCTTGAGAACTTAGCTGGAGGATTTTTACCTGTTGTGCAGGTTTTGGGTTGATGGACGAAACCGGAGTGCCCAGAGGAAATCCACAGGGAGAAACATGCAAACTCTGCACAGAAAGCCCTGGACAGCTCAGAAATCAAACCACATGAGCAAACTGCATAAGGCCCTGTGTTTCACTAAACTATATTTATATATATGAAGATTCTATTTTTAGTTAAAAAGATTTTATGGCAAAATACAGAAAAAATATTATGTCTGGCTTTGCAAACAGAGCCACACTAACCAAGAAAACACAATCCCTTCTCAACTTTCTTCACAATTGTTCGTGTCATTTTCCTTTCCCACCTTTGGCAGCTCAATGAGATGAGTCACCTTGGAGTCACAAGTGGGCGCGCACACACATGCACACACGCTCACACACACGCGCACACTTTTATTGGGGATGTAAGAGAGATCACGGTGCCACAGATCCCCATGGAGCTGTGTGATTCACTACCCGTCTCACACCACACAGCTAAAGGCACAGAGGGTTCAGGCATGTGATGGGGAAGTCAGCAGTCGGGAATGACAAAATGTGCTAGAAGGAAATATATTAATTCCAAATTGACAGTTATGAGCTTTTAATAATGTTGGCATTGTTTCCCCTTCTTATTTACCCATTAGTGATTCATGCATGTTTGAGTAATCTTTATTCACCAACATTCAAGACAGCTATACAAATTCCTGTTATTCTTGTTATTCACAGTTTGTCAACAGACTCAAAAATGCACCAGATCAGAACAAAGATAACCCCAGAACTAAAGGGGAAATTATTATGCTTGATTTTGCACTATAACTAACTTCAAAATCTCTTCCATCATTACTTGTTAGTTTTATATCAACTGCTTTTTACTGTATTGTCTGTTCGTAGCTTTACTTCTTCCATCCTGCTGTGATCGTAGGACATAGTATTGTAAGACAGTGCTGTAGCCCTACATGTTAAACTCTCTTGTATCCATAGTAACACCATGTACTGTACATTTCCAGGACGTCAGCAAGCGCATGTCTCTGCCCATGGACATCCGTTTGCCCCCAGAGTTCCTCAAAAAGCTGCAGATGGAAAGTGAAAACTCGCCCCTTTCCAAACCGCTCAGTCGAATGTCCCGGCGGGCTTCACTGGTCAGTGCCACTTACCCACTTCAGTTTGGCTCTAGTCTTGTTTTAAAGTCTGCTACAGTGTTTGTTTAGCTCAAGAGTGTGTACTTGTTCTTCTTTATAAGAGATAGTCTCATATTAAGTTCAGCTCCAAAACTCTAGTATTCTTATACACTTTAGATTTTATAATGACACTAGAATAATTTCTTCCAGAATTGAGTAAACCAGTAAATTGGTCTGAATTTGACATTTTTAGAGATACTTACTGTACTGCTCTGTGTAAATAATAAAAAAGACTTTAATCCGCCATTCTGTTCCTCAGTCTGACATTGGCTTTGGGAAACAGGAAACGTATGTGAAGCTTGGGAAACTTGGTGAGGTGAGTATCTGTGTACACAGGTTAATAAGAGCATCTCATTTTGCAATGACTAACCAGGTTTGAATGACATTAAAGTAGGATTTAATTTAACCTCATAGATGTTTGCTGTGGGTTTTCTTTGCCAAAATGTCCACTTAATCCTCAAACATGTGCTTTGTGCCAGACTATGAATCAGTGTAAAACCTCCAAACACATGTGCCATTGATTTAATGAGAAAATGGAGTGACTCATCTGTTTGGGCTCTCTACTCTCACAATATGAAATCAAAGGATTTTTTTTTATCTTATACAAGAGGCTTCATCACAGTACATTTGAATCCCGTACCTTTTGTATGTGGAGCAGACAGTCCCTTTTGTCACATGAGTGAAAATGGTTCAAATGTTGGACAGACTTATTGACACAAACCTAGCATGCACACTCACTGGTAAAAAATATGTCAGAAACATGAATAAAAAATGAATTAATAATAAAATATGTTTATTTTCACTTGGGACAATCACAAGTAAAGCACAAGTAAAGTTACCCAACATATCTAATAATGAACCATTCAATAGCAGTGATAGAAAGTGTGTGCTCTAACAGGAGGAAACCTATAACACTTGTAACATTGAAACATAAGAGCACCTGCTCAGAGCTGCTGTTGTTTCAGAGCTGCTGCTGTCAAAGTGTCACCCACACTTGTGTCTGATGTGTTTGTGCTCCCAGGGCACCTACGCCACCGTATTCAAAGGGCGCAGCAAACTGACCGAGAACGTGGTGGCTCTGAAGGAGATCCGCTTGGAGCACGAGGAAGGAGCGCCCTGCACCGCTATCAGAGAAGGTACTCACCTCCATCACCACAGGGGCTGATCTGCATCTCAGTCAACAAATAAAGACAGCATATCTCTGCATCTCAAATCTTTGAACATACAGTAAGCGGAGCTCCAGTTGAATAGGGTAAAGAGGTGCTTCCCAACCTTTTTATCATGAAGTCCACACGCTCAGACTGAAAAGGAACTAGTGTGTTTTTTGCCACTAATGTCCCTTCTCCAATCATGTTGTGCAAAGGTTTTACTTTGTCCACTTGCTCCCACAGGCTGTCCTGCCCCCATGCTGGGAAATAATGTGATAAAAAAAAACTCAAATTAGTATTATAAGTTAATTGGATGACCTTTGATATGATTTTATACAAATACCCTTTCCATTTATTTCCAATATTGGGATTTCACTTTAGTTGACTGGCAAAAAAATCTATTTTATCTTTGCACCCACAGTCAGATACATGTAATTAGCTTGAATTAACCTATAACTTTATATAAAGGTTTTACAGCCATAACTCTGTTGTGTACACAGTGTCCCTGCTGAAGAACCTGAAGCATGCAAACATTGTTACATTACATGATATCATCCACACGGACCGTTGCCTTACGCTGGTGTTTGAGTATCTGGTCAGTACATTATATACAGACTGCACATTAAATAACTCTTTAAGTGAGCTGTATAGTTTACTGTATGGACTGTTATGTGTTGCAGGACAGTGATCTGAAACAGTATCTGGATAACTGTGGGAATCTAATGAGCATGCACAATGTGAAGGTGAGCCGCACGGGGGGAAATGACTCACCTACTTCAATGTGTTTAAATGTCACGGAAGCATACTCTGTGGCCTCAAGTCCCCCCGCAATTCTTTCTTTTTATTCATGTGTTCTGGGCTTAAAGGCCCCAGCGCAGATTATCTGAACTTTAACGCATAGGGTATTATAATATCGTTTCTTCATCGAAAACATTACAGTAAGTTTTGTTTTGTTTTGTTCACACATTTTTGAGCAATAGCACAAGGCTCTGTCTGCTAATCACTACATGTCAGTCTAGAGTGTGATGCCATCATGTGGCAAATGCAGAAAGTATCAGTTTTTTTCCCACTATGACAATAACTTGAATGCTATTAGTTATTGCTTTTGCCTTAATTAAACTGCTTCACCCCTCAATGTGTCAGCAAGTGGAGTTACTCACAGCTGGAAATTGGTATACACAGAAATAAGATCATTTATTTGATATTAATATACATTATTTTGCAGTTATTTATTTTAGGTCATACTGCTAGAAAGAACAGTGTTGAGTGTACAAATGTAGTTTAAATTGGTTTGGTAATAAATCATTTCTGGAAAAATTCTCCGCCTAAAGTATCTGAACAAGCCTAGCTCAAGACCTGGACCTGGCTTGCGTAATAATGTCTTCTTCTCAGTGAAAGAGTTGGCCGTAAAAATGCACAATTTTAAATAAAAGGGAAGTGTGAAAACATGTAGCACAATTTTAACAACAATAAAAGCTTTTAAAATATTCACTATTTCTCACTTTCTTTTTGCTTCAGATCTTTATGTTCCAGCTTCTCCGTGGTCTGTCCTATTGTCATCAAAGGAAAATCCTACACAGAGACCTTAAGCCTCAAAATCTGCTCATTAACGACAAGGGAGAGCTCAAACTCGCAGATTTCGGTAAGAACAAGCCATAATAGAAGCATACACATCCACACGTCCACACATATACTCCGGGGAGAAAGTGGAGAGATTGTAGCCAAAATTGCCTTCCAATTATATTTTACTGCAACACTGAGATTTCTTGTCCTGATGACTTTAGCACCCGTACTCTCCGTATCCTAGCAACTGTGGCCCTTTCTCTGGCTTTTCCGCAATATTTTATTGTGTAGATAAAGCCAAATAATATTCCCCAACTGACATCACCATTACAGCCCACATATGGCGTTATGATAAGACACTATGCTTCACAGTCTATTTTCTAACTCTAGGTCTGGCCAGGGCAAAGTCTGTCCCCACAAAGACATATTCTAATGAAGTGGTGACTTTATGGTATCGACCTCCAGATGTCCTACTAGGCTCCACAGAATACTCCACGCCAATCGACATGTGGTAAGTAATTTCAGTTGTACAAAAAGAATAAGGTGACACTTTTTTAAGTGCAAATTTGTGTTACTCAGAACTATCAGGTGTAAAGAGGGATTTGTCAGTTTTGTTACTTAAAGGTGCAATGTGTAACTTTTAAGTTGATGGATCCGCTAGTTGCTTATCTCCATCCTGTTATTTCTTTTCCTGGCATGTTTCACAGTAGAGCATTAAACATGTCTCACTTGCATTTGTTCCATTACATGCATTTTACAGCTCAAAAATACCTTAAAAAACATGAATTATTTCCATGTGCAGGCTTGCTTCTCCATAGATCTGACCATTAACCCTTCTCCATTGTCATAAACCAGGTTAATTTCCATACTGTGGAATAATCAAGGCAAAACAGTAATATCTCCATGGAGACAAGCAGGTGGCGGATCTTCCTCAACAAAAGTTACACAGTGCACCTTTAAGTTGAAGTGCGGATACTGGAGTAAAAAAACTACTCAAGTAAAAGTAAAAGTATCACCTGAAAAATCGACTTAAGTAAAAGTATTAAAGTACTTATGTTAAGTTAATTTTGCACTGATTTTGAGATCTAACAAAGCTTCATATGTACGGATTTTGATAAAGATTTGTGCTGAATTTTGTTCAATGGAAGCAATCAAATCTTTTTGTAGTCATTTTTCTTCGTATATTTTTGTTTACTCATACTACAAACATACAAAAATTAAACAGCATATACTTTACATCAGGTCCCAAACAATAATAAAAAATACTTTTACTTTTCAATCCTTTTCAAAAATGTAGTAGAGTAGAAAATACCGATACCTTCTCTCAAATGCAGTGAAAAAAAAGTAAAAAGTATCCACTTAAAAATCTACTTGCTAATTACTAATATAATTCAACATAGTAATAGCATTTTACTGTTGATCGATAGCCAGTTTACTTCTACACATTTATATTCTAAAATACTGCACTGCTTTTTGTACTCGACCCCAGCCTTCACAGTGGTACATTCATGTGAGCACTTACAGGTGCAGTGAAGACATGCTGTCCCTTTGTCCACTCCCTTCCACTGGGTTTGCTCTTCCCCACTCAGACTATAGTGAGAACAATGGAGCAGTCAGAGGCAGGCTGCTCATGCTGACAGTCCCGGCTACAGCACTGGCTTTTGGGAAACCTTATTGTATTTGACTAGGCTTGAGAGTGACTCTTTTAAAGTTATATCTTTACATGAACACCCTCATATTAGGATCATATTGTAAAGGGAAGAAATGGCTCTTTTTCCTTATAAAAAACACATTTAAATCACTATAAACACTTAAATTGCATTTGTAATATTGCCAAAATGTATTTAATAGATTATCTTAAAGGTGCATTATGTATCTTTTCTGGTGGAGGGTCTATCAATCATTTGCAGGCTATCAGTTTGGGGTTTGACGATTAATCACCCACAACCAGGTCTCCACTTCACTTTGTCTCCATGCAGATGTTATTGCTACTCCTGTAATCTTCCAAATTGTGCCATTAAAACAGTTCCATGGAGACAGGCACCAGGCCAAGTTACTGGTAATATTTGTAGAAAGGCTACCCTGCTTTCAATAAGAGGGCATGTTTTTCTATGAATTTTTGAAAAATAAAAACTATGAAATTAAATAAATGTAGGAGAACTTCTATGCACATTCCAGGTAACATCTTTATGAAGACAAGCAAGTGGTGTACCCTCCACCAAAAAGTTACATAGTACACCTTTAAAATTAAGTATTTGCTTTGGATAAACATAACGTAATTAAAGCTTTAAGTCATATTATAACTTTGTTACCTTCTGTTGTTGTGTTATTTCATTCACATATTTTGAGTAATCGTTTATTATTAGTCTGGCTACATCTCCAAAGCTTAAAATGCTCTTTTCTACACTCTAAACATGAATGTGTTAAAAAACACCAACATGTGTTGAATTTCAACACATCAATGAGTTTTATTTGGGACAACACAGCTTGTGTTAATTGTGATTGGCCAATGATGTTACCACATATTTTTGTGTTGTAGAAGTTAAATCATGCAACACGTTATTTGTAGAAATTGGCACAACATGTGTTATTTGTCTTTCTACACATTAAATGTGTAAGAAAACAACATATTCTTTCTTAGAGTGTACCTTGTGGTGACATGAAGCAGTTGTTTTCAAGTTAATAGCTCCTTTTATCATTAGTTCAGAAGAGATTGGCTATTTCAGGGCTGAAATTATCCAAATGACTTTAGTGAAGGTGCATGGAGTTTAAAAACACAGTGGTGCCTTCCACATGACATTACAGGTGTTTTCTTTTTGAGAGAAGAACTCAGCCTAAATATGCAGCATTTGTGTGTTAAACATGTGTGAATGAAACAAAACACAACTCCAGGTATGTTTGTCATGAGGAAACAAAATTAGAATATAGCTCAGAAAATAGCATAAAATGGGCCCTTTAAAAAAGGGCACTCAAAAGTTCACATAATAAAACATAAACATTTAATTTTGTGGTCACTTTATCTCCAAACCTATTTTTCTGCTGTTATGTGATATATTAGCAGTTTGCATGATGCTCTAAGATCAGCTGTCTCTCCCACAACATGGCAGAGCTGAGTATGTTCTCTGCATGGGGCCTCTTCATACAGCGCAGAACAAAAGACTTCCCACACACACCATGTTTGCTCTTTATGCCTAAAGTGTACTATTGTTTCATAAAAGATTTCTAATGTGGACTGACTGTGTCTCTGTATCACCTCTCTCGTGCATTTGTCTCATCACTGTTTAGGGGCGTGGGATGTATCCTGTATGAGATGGCCACAGGTCGACCCATGTTTCCCGGGGCAACAGTGAAGGAGGAACTGCACTTGATATTTAGACTAATGGGTACGTTTGCATGTTATTATTTTATTTCATCGCTTTTATTGCACTGAAAAACAACGAAAACCTTCGTCCCTACTGTGAACCGGCTTCCCTCTTTGCAAACCTGACTTTTATTGGGCCAGCTCCAGGTCGTGGTGCCTAAGACGAGACTTAAAACTAGGGGGGGCAGGTCCTTCTCTGTGGCCGGCACTAAGCTCTGCCCCTTCACATCCAAATTGTCCCCACTGTGGAGTGCTTTAAATCTCGTCTTAAAACCCATGTTTATTCTCTGGCTTTTAACACTGCGTGAGTTGTGTGGTCCTCCGTATCTTTTATTTATTTTTAATGTATTTTATTGGTTTTATTGTTTTAGGACTAGTATGATTAAATCTGAGTGTTATTTTATCATTATATTATTATTGCTGTTATTAGTATGTATGTTATTAGTATGTATTTGTGCAGCACTTTGGAAACTGTCTGTTTGTGAAGTGTGCTATATAAATAATATGGATTGGACTGGAATATTAGATTACGCCTTTTGCCTTTTATGTCTGTGACCCTGGTGTGAATAGTTGGTGTAAAACAGTCCATGCACTATATAAGAAGAAAATTACACTTTAGCCTATAACAATCTCATCTATTGCAGTCCACAGTGTATCACAAGCCATAGAAACTTTTATTGTGTCTTATACTTTCTGAAGACTGCAGCCTCAGCCCATTAAGATTTGAAAAGTTACAGAGCTAACCACCCAAGGGGCAGACAATTATTCTTCAGATATGACTCATTTTATTCTGTGCACTTGAAACTAAAATGTTTCACCATATAAAGATAGGGGCAAGTTAACTCTAGTTTTCATACACTGTACTGTAATATTAGTTGAGTGGTTGACATGTCTTTGTAATTTCACAGGGACACCCACAGAGGAGAGCTGGCCTGGGATCAGCAGTAATGAAGACTTCAGATCGTACCTCTTTCCTCAGTACAGACCTCAAGCTCTCATCAACCACGTACCCAGGTAAGTCAGATTTTAGCAACAACGCAAATACTTAATATGTTTTTTTTGTGAACTAGTTATTCTCTCCCTAAAGGCTAGACACTGAGGGCATCGACGTGCTAACTGCCCTGCTCCTGGTATGAGATGCAGTATTGAAAGTTTTATTGCTCACGTGTGTGTAGTTGTAATCACCAGCTTTTGTTGTTGTTGTAATTGCAGTATGACACAAGGAACAGGATATCATCAGAGGCTGCACTTAGACATCAGTACTTCCAGAGTTTGGGGGAGAATATTCACAACCTGCCAGACAGTAAGAGTAATATAATATTTATTGCATGGTGTATTGTATATGGGTTTGCCAGTAGTTTGCATTCATGTGACATCACAATATTAAAAGACTTTAAAGGGCCCATATTACTAATTTATTAATTAATCATTGCACATACAAAGCACTTTACTTTTTTCTTTTTCTTTTTTTTTATTGTTCATTCACTCCACACTCAGGCTATTTCCTCATTGCTGTTATAATGTTGTTTCCTCATCACAAACTTTCTTGGTGTTGTGTTTTTTTTTTTTTGTTTATTTGTTTCATTCACACATGTTTAACAAACCCTGTATGTTTAGTCTGAGTTCTTCTCTCAAAGGGACAACACTCAGTTCCACCTTGTGATGTCACGGGGTAATACAGAAAGTGCTCCACTATGTTTTTAAACTCCATACACCTTCACTACAATTATGTGGATAATTTCAGACCTGGATAGCCAATCTCTATTGAACTAAAGGTAAAAAGTAGCTGTTAACTTGAAAACTACCTCTACATGATATCACAAGATAAAACAGAGAATTTGGAGCTTTGGAGATGAAAAGAGACTAATAATAAAGGGTTACTCAAATATGTGTGAATGAAATAAAACACAACTACAGGTATGTTTTTGAGAAGGTAACACTATAACATAACTTAAAGCTCACAAGAGTCAAATTTGTGTAATATAGGACCGTTAAGAGAAATGGACAGCGAAATGGACAATAATCCAAAACAAAGGGACCCAGCAGTAGGGAGTAAAACAGAAATGAGATATTCTGTCAACTTGATCAAGCAAACATTTCACTTGAGAAAACAAACACAAGAAGCATGTCTCCAAACATCATCCACAACTGACAAAAAGACCGATGTGGATAAATTGTCAAGTGTTGGGATGTGTTAACTTGAAGACTAGCACTTCATGACATCATAAGGTGAAACAGAGCATTTTGAGCTTTGGAGGTATAAACAGACTAATAACAAAGGACTCAAACATGTGTGAACGAAATAAAGCACAGTAGGTATGTTTTTGATGAGGTAACAACATTCAAACATGGATTAAAACTCAAAAGAGTCAATTTTGCGCAATGTAGGACCTTTAATATAGCAACTTTGTGGAGCCAGTTGCTAAGAAATAATCATTGAGTTCAACATTCATGGATAATTAGTTTGGATATGTTTTTCAAGCACAGTAAATTGCCCATAGAGTTATATAGGCCACTGCCCTCCATTTGAAATAATTACACTCAATTCTAAAAAACAAACTATACTTTTGAAGCTTGACTCAGCACAGTTACTTGGTTATTATTAATTTTGAAACAACACCACTAGCACTCCCCCACCTGTGTTTAAACTATTTTTTTTCTTGTGTGTTCCAGCCGCTTCTGTGTTTTCCCTCAGAGAGATCCAACTGCAGAAAGACCCGGGCCATCGCAGTTCTGTGTTCCAGCCTTTAGGTGGTGCACCAGCTACACAACAATCCACAATATTTCTACTCGTATATACCGAACTCCTCATTTTTCATATGACCTAATCTAATGACTCAAATTATGTATTCTTTCCAAAGACTTGTCAAGATAAAATGCTTTTTAACTTGACCAATTAGCTATGCTTAAGATGACAGCATGTCTCATTAAAAGAATCCAGAACAGAGCAGTTTCATGGGAATTTAAATGACAATAAACTGTCTACCGCTTAATTAAGGAGTCTAGCTGTAATTACCTCCTCTGTATGTAACAAACAGAACAAATGCTTTTACCTGTCATGATTTTGCAGTAATTAGCTCCTGATGTGGTGTGTCTGCAAACACTGTTACTTACTTACTTACTTAACTTACTTTATAACACATAACCATGATGCGTTTGAACACTGCTGTTAATCTCTGTATTTCCCTCCAGCCCGTGGAAAAAACAGGAGGCAGAGCATCTTCTAGAGGTCAAAGGTTACCGAAGAGAGACACAGACGCACAAACTCACGAGCAAGTTCCATTTGGAGACACCCTGCATGGACTCAACAGACCACCACTACTACTATCACTACATGGATGAACGTGATGGGTGGATTTCATGCACTTTGAATGCCTGTCTTCATCCAAAAAAAAAAAACTACTGCTAAAAGGAACTACTGTTACAACTAAGCGTAAAGTCACATTATAATAGTGTTAATAACCATAAACTTCTTGCAGACAGAAGAAAGTAACAAAGCCAAACAAGTATACTGTATTCACATAACATCCATCCTAATAGGAGATCTGGGAGACTGTTTGAAAAGTCATACATTGCTAAAACTTTAAAAGTGCACTGTGCAACTTTTCTGGAGGAGGGTTCGCCACCTGCTTGTCTCCATGGAGATGCTTTCGTTTTGTCTGGAATGTGCTGGGATGGCATTAAAACGTGTCCATCTTGCAATTTACCCAGTAACTTGGGTTTATACTGACTTTATTGACTTTATTTACTGTGAGTGGGCTCGCCTCTCCACAGTTCAGACATGCAACCTGGCCAGGTCGCTGGTGTCACCTGCTGTCTCCATAGAGATAAATAAGTGTAATGTCATACCTTGGAAAATTCCAGGCCATATCTTCAAGGAGAGAGGTAGGTGACGGGCCTTCCACCAGAAAAGTTACACAGTGGACCTCTGATAACAATGAAATATTTAATCAATAACAACAACCTCATGTACTTTATTTCAGCTTCATTTAGCATGAGGACACTGATTTATAGCTTCAATGAAATGTAGGTTTATACTTTATTTTGAGAAATGTTTCAACATATCCACCACATCTGGTCATATACATATGCATGTACAAATATGAAGGGGTGATTTTAAATAGTGACGGCTGTGAGTGGATCTCTGCTTGTGATCAATCAAAACAGTAGCATTAGCAGATAAATAGAACAGCACAAATACACAAACACACTCTTGTCTAAAGGTACAATGTCATAGATACTGGCCGTGTTGCCTTGCTCCACCTGCCCCCTGTGTCTGGGTGGGCGTGTCCATGCCAGTGTTACATACATTCCAGTTTTTGAAGTTGCCTTAGTAAAACTGTGCATGATGTTCTGGCTTGTGGAGGTAGTTGATCTAGTGAAGCCATTGTTTTTGAGGCATTTGCTTTGTGTCTGTAAATAGTCTGTTTGAGTGTGTGGTGTGTCTCCTCTTTGCACAAACCAGAAGTGTCCTATCAGGCTTGCTCCCTTTCCCTCTTATCCTGTCTATTATGAACCTCCCTTCAAAATGATGAAATTTTATGTCCTAAATTTTAAGTACCAGTTTTTACCAATCCCCTAGTGGACTTGGCTTTCACTTCATTTGGACTTTAATTGGACTCAGCCTCACTGGAGTATTTCAATATTACTGACTTGTGGACTTGTCCTAATACTTCCAGTGCAATATAAAAGTCTTGGCCTCCCTGTCCAGTGCATTCACTGATGTTAAGGCTTAGAGCTCATTATACTGTACAAGATACAACCATCAGTATGGAAATATAAATCTATGTAGAAACGTGTCTTGCTTGTGTAGATACAGCAGTGGTTGGTGAGATTTTGAAACAATGGCTCAGTGTGAGGTGACTTCATGTGGAAGACGTTGCACTTGTCCTCTATATGTCTTCCACATCTCAGCCAGAAGAAAAGTCAATACAAACTGCCACGTAACACAAGGCATGCTATATTTTGCATTGAAAACAAAATTAGTAAACTTGCAATAACTTGACTAACTTGTAATTTGGCATAGCCTAATATTTTTCCTTTAAATGCAATAGTGCTCCCTAGTGGACAGAGGTCTCCACACACTGTAGCTGTGTTGCAAAGCACAGTGTATGATGAGGTGCCCAACTGTCATCCAGCACATATATATAACACACAGCCAACAATATTACTGCTAACCTTTGGCCTATATAAGGCCTTAGGTGTAAAATTACAAGTAATATAGACCATATCTTGACTAGATGAAATTGCAACTTCACTCTGTTTAAGTGCCCTTAGAATATAGAAGCTTGCATGCTCCAAAATGCCACTACAGGTTTCTACCTCTTAAAGTATTCTATAGCATAGGCATAGACCTACTCAGTTCAGAGAGATCTTTTAGCAGAGCCTTGAGGTCATCATTGCTTTTGCGTAAGGCACCCCACTCCCAAATCTGTGGCACAAGTATTAATTAATGTTTAGTAAAATTAAGATATTTTCTGCAATGAAAAAAAGGTAATATATAGTAATAGGTCTATTATGTTCCCATATTTCTCAGTGACATGTCTGCTGTTTAAAGAAATAGAGAATTGTATTTAAAATATTTAAAATGTCTAAATGTTTTATAAAAGATGTTTAGATTTTGTATGATATGAGATGTGATATTTTGTGTGATTTATTGTCTACACTGCTATGAGAAATGAATGTATTGTTATTGCCAAGAGGTTTAAAAGTGAATAACTGACTGATTTATGAATAAACACTGAAAACTAAACACTATGGCCTCTGATATGTATTTATTTATTCTGCAGGATTACAAAGGCATCAGTCTAACACAAATCTTAACACTTAATTTAAACCATCAAATTACTTCGAATAATTATGTCAGTTTAGTTGCTGAGAGGCTTATGTTAAGGTTTATTTGGGGGAGGCTGTTATCTAAAAGCTACAACATTATATTTCGGTTTTCATATGCTCTAGTTACTGTAACTCTGTGTTCAAAATATTTGGAGCATCATTGCCGAAACCCGGGATCGAACCAGGGACCTTTAGATCTTCAGTCTAACGCTCTCCCAACTGAGCTATTTCGGCCGGAAGCTCCCATACTCTGTTGGCTGTAATGGCACATTATGCCCAGAAGGTGGTAGTCATGTTTTGTGTATTTTCCTTATAGTCGACTATTTCACTTTATTTTATATTTTCATAGAACTAGACTGGAAAAAATCAAAAGGAAACATCTTATGTTCTAAACATAACCAAAAATCTAATAATAGGCTTATTAGACAGGTCCGTGGACAGATGTGAGTAGGCTTATCGCGCAGGTTTGAGTGCTGCTGAACGAGTTTGCCCTGCAGGCCTCATCCCACATAAATGACCTTCTTCTTGGTTTCGTACAGGTCTGAGGTACCTCCAGCCCACACAGAAGCCCACGCCTCAAGAGCACCACCAGCATGTTAGGCTTGCACATTTAGAACGAGTTTCCCCGGACATTTCACTGACCAGAGAGGGGCCTTGCACGACCACCTGCAGCACAAGTAACTGTGCTAAGCGTGCTCCAAACATTAATGTGCACCCAGGATATCTGCGGAGTTTACAGTGTATCATGTCAGCAGTGAATGCCACAAATAGCACGTCCTACTCACTTTATTATTGGCTGCTTTAATTGTCGTAGCAGAAAGCTGCAAAATAAATCAAGTTAATGGAACCATACAAATATGAAACTAATGAATGCATAATGCTTATTGAAGTAGACACGATGTCCTTTAGTTAAGCACTCACTTCAGTGTCGTGGCGTGTAAGGGGGTAGTAGATCATGTGAGTTATGTGCACAGTATGCCGCTTGTCCGCATGCTGTTTTCCTCCCAGCAGGTTTCCTCTTAACTGAAGTTCTTTATGGAAAAATACAGCTACAGCCACAGTATGTGCGTGATCAGTGGGGCACAAATCCCACATTGTAACGCGTTTAGCGCGTTTTTTTCTTTTCTTTTTTTTTCTTTCTTTTCTTTTTTTTTTTTAATCAAGAACCTGAAATAACCATCAAAGCTTTATAATTTCGGTAAAATATGTCTGTAATAAGCATTGTTTTATTTGTGGACATTTAAAACACTTCATTGTGATTCCATAAACATTCCATTAAACACTAAAAGCTAAAAGAAGCGTTTTGTGCAGAACTGTAGACTATAGGCTGTAGCCTACAAAGTGAATGTATGTCTACTTAACCGAAATGTGAATAGTGACTAGTGCTGGAAACAGAGGCTAATCACATCCCTGTGTGAATGACTCAAATGTGCTGCTGCTGCTGCTGCTACATGTTATACAAATTTGACTCAAGTGTCCTGGAACTAGCCTGTAGTTTTTTGCTGAGGTTCAAATATGCTTCCTTTGTAAAACATGAACACATTAAAGAATATCAAAATAACAAACATAGAATCAACAAAATATTTAGCTTATTTTATGGTACATTTTACAGTGAAAAGGTTTTTACTGTCAAAATATGTTCGTTGGATACTCACGTGTTACAGCTAGCAAAATCTTCACATTTTTACATTTTACATTTTAACAATAGTCAAAATTGTTGGTGAGTGTGCCCACTGACACAGAAGCTGTGTGAAATAATACATGCCCAACACTTTACCAACGTTACATTGTTTTCACAATGGGCTTCACAAATGTGAGCTCATAAACAGTGTAATATTATATAAGGAGTGTCTCAGCAGAGCCTTTTCTGTATATAAACACACTGTACCACTTACATTATTATGGTGTATAGGGACAGTATACATAGTTTTAAAGTATAGTCTCTCAAGATGTGAGAATGTTCTGAAGCAGCCTTGGTGAATCAGTGTAGATGCACACACACTCTTTGGAGCCATAAACTCCACCAGAAGAACTCTTCATCATACGACTTTATGTGTAAACACATCTCAACAGTATGATTTGTCTCAGTTGGACAGTGCTGTTCAGAGAGAGGGCTGCATCCTGCTTCCTCTGCCTTCGTGACAGTGTGAGCGTGGTCTTTCTGCTGAGCTAAACATCCAGTGAGCGTGACACAGGAGCACAGCAGTGACTGCATGTTGTACTAACTTACATGCGCTCACAGTGCTTCTGCTAGACAGCGGTCTGTGCCTTCACTCGCCTCCAGACGCACTTGCCGGCTGGTTTTCCTGTTTTCCACCCAGGAGTTGTGTATAACAGTTCCTCCTGGAGAAGGATCCACTTGGAGCAATGACACTACCCTCTTTTTAACCTTTGACCTAAGCGCTCGGCGCAGTTTCTGTCGGGTGAAAGCGTAGAGTAAAGGGTGTGACACTGTGGTTCCATAGGCCAGAGCTAAGAACCACAGACGTAGGCTGACCAGGGCCTGGCTGGGGCCAATGCCCAGGATCAGTAGGTTGGTCACAGACAGCGGCGCCCAACAGCCCAGAAAGGTAATGATGATGATGAGGGACATTTTGAACACACGTCTCTGTCGTTCTCTGCGATCTCGGTGGCGCCTCACTGCTCGCCGCAGGGCGATGATGGCTGATACTGAAGCCTGGACTCCCATTGTGGTTGCCACAGGGGCAGCTGCAGCTTTAGCTGAGGTCACCAGCGGGGTGGTGGAGGACACCGCTGGAGGAGATGTAGCTGTGGGCGTGGGCGATGGAGAGGCAATGAGTGGGGGGTGGCTGTTCTGTTTAGTCCCATCGGTGGTGCAGTGTTCTTCCCCTAGCTCTTCACTGTCCACCTGTTTCTGTCCCACCTTTCTTTTACTCTGCTCATTTTTTGGCCATATGGGACGGCCCCTGCTGTGGGATCTCCTGAAGCGCTGGTTCTTCATGTGAGAGCCAATGCGTATGTTCAAAGCTCTCAGTATTCGAGAGTAAGTGAAAAGCATGACTGCCACTGTGGTGAAAAAGATGGGCACTTGTATGATAAGATGGTACATAGCAAGACCTGTGTGATAGCCTTGCCCACCACCACACAAGGAAGTCCTGTTTTGCCAAGCAGGCACATCCATGCTGGATGTGTCAGGATAAGATAATGACAAGGCTAGATCCTTGTCCTCCTCAATCATCCACTGCATTTCAAAAAAAGGGATAAAAAACACAGCCACAGAGATGAGCCAAACTGCAGCCAGCAGCAGTGCTGCTCTTCGAGTAGTGAGGAGTCTGTTGGCTGGTCTTACAGAGATATCATAGCGGTCCAGGCTAATGACCAGGATGTTTATGGCTGTAGCGATGCTGGCAAATGTGACACAGGCCTCATGGAAACAGCACAGAGTGGCCAGGTTGGTTCCTTGTGGCAGCAGAACAACCATGAGTGTGAGAGGCAAGCACAGCACACACACAGCCACATCCAGCACGTGCAGACTGACTGTCACCATGTTGCTCACAGAGTCCACCAGGTTGGACTGGGAGCAGTAGAGCACCAGCACTGTCAGGTTACTGCTGAAGCCCAGGACCAGCTCCACCATGAGGAAGGCAGTAAGTGAAACCTGAAAGCCCAGTGAGTATGGCTCAGACCAGGACGGAGGCCTCTCTGTGGAACCCTCTCCCTGCTGCTGGAGGACCTCCACCGTCCCCACCCAGTCTGTGGTAGCCAGGCCGGATATGTAGCTGTCAGTCTCCATGAGCAGCTCAGAGCTCAGACACTGCACCTGTCACTTTGGTGATGTGATCCTGTGATGCACCAGGGCAAGTCTCCATGATGCAAGTATGAGTAAGAGCTTGGACAGAATGCTGTGGAAACAAGAACACAAAGCAGACAGATCAGAGATAGAGATCTAAAGTTCTCAAATGTTAAGGTGAGGGTGATTATTTTGAGATACATATCTGAATGTTTGAATACTCAAATACTATTTATGTCCAACAACATATCTCCAGGTTGTTTGTTTATACTGTACTCGTCTCACAGCCACAATTATAAGACAATAAAATTAGTATTACAGGCAAATATTGTAGAAGACTTGTGGTGCTGCAGTTCCACTGTCATATCCTTCTGTGGTTGTAAGAGTTACTATAGTCCATGCTACATTATACATACATCAGTGCAGCCCTGCTCTGTTTATTATCAGAGTCTCTGGTAACCTTTTTACCTGTCTGTTACCCTGTACAGTGTTTAAGCTGTCAAAAGAGCACCATCACTAAGGTCTCTCAAAGTCTACTTAGGCCAATAACCAAATTAAATGGTGCAAGCAACACTACAGGCCTCTCAGTAAAACACATTCATCCACTTGCACAAATTGGTTATGATCTGTGTCTATGGAAACTGCAATAAAGTCATTATTTATTCAACGTTTCCACTGACAAAGGATGAGATTTTAACAGTGATGACTACTTGAATGAACTCATGAACATATAGTCTGTACAATTTATATATTTTGTATTTGTATTTAGTCAGTTTTGATTTTGTGATTTGATTGTGACCAAACCATGGTATGTGTTTAAAAAACAAAACAAAAAGGATTCAGATCTATATCATCAATTAAAAAATTTTAATTAGACAATGTAAGTAAAGAGCATCGTCATGTAATGATGATGGTGAAAACAGGATGGTCGCAGCAATGGTGTCTTGAGTGGTGCCTAGAAATATGATTTTTCATAATAGGTCTCCTTTAAAGTTACCATGTATAATGAGATTGACCAACATGGCCCTGTTGTATTCTCAAATAACACCACTAGATGCCATCTACTTTACTGCGGTCTAATGCACTATACCAAAATCAAGTAAAATACAAAGCCTTACAGTGTGTTCAGAGCAGAACAGTGGTATTGTGACGTTAATAAACTGAGCATTCATGCCCTGAGCATTGAAAAATCTGAATTTTGTCAAAATTGGCTGCACATCAACCTGTTTTGATACAGGTATACATTCATACCATACTCTATAAAACTGCACAACTACTCACCCTTATGTAACAGATAACCCTATGTCATGTCAATCATTATATCATCTTTGCAATGTTTTTCCTTACGACCTCTTATATGTAGCTATATTTCTATATTTTATATTTACTTGTTCATATACATTTATATAATCATGCTTTATTTGACACCAGTCTTTTGTTATTTTTCCTGCTTCTTTAGAATTTATCATTACCATTTACATTTTTGCTCTTTGTTATTATAATACATTGTGATGTGTGAGCTATTGTGTCAAAATAGTTTCCCTTGTAGATCAATAACGTTTGTCTAAGTCTAAGTTTCAAGCATTTTTCTGCCCTCAATTAGAGGTCTAGACGCGTTTGATGTGACTTTCTGAACAAAGCTATAGATTGAGAGGCTTTCTTGTATTCTTTTCCTGAATGCCATAATAAATATGGGTATTTTTTCATTTTCAGATCTGGAATTTAAGTCTCTCAGTTCATGAAAAGTCACCAGTTGAGATTCGAAATGCTGCTGATTGCCCTGTGTGGTGTAAATTGTTATTAATTGATATGTCAATGTACAGTATCTCAACTTTAAGATCCTTTGCTAGTATCGTATGTGTTCAGGCACTGTCACTCTCTGTGGTAATTACGGACACCAGATTAAAAGCACTGAATGGGCCTAAAGCACTACTGTTGCTCATTGATTTGAAGGTGTCCACTGATTGCACTTGCTCAAAATCAATTGAACAACAATCACGCTTAATTCTGTCTAAATTTCTCAATAACCAGCCAATACATCAGTAGTAAGTTCACAGCTCATCAGCACAACTTGACTTTTCACCAAACTTTGTAGAAGATCAGGGCTTGTTTGGTTCCTTGTTTCTCTTGTTTCCATGGCAACAGCAGCGGAAGGGTATTGGGATTAATGAGCCCAGAGGTGATGCGCTGTGTACAGACTTCTTGGATGACAGCAGTAACACCCCGTCAAGTGTATATCAGAACAAAAACATACATTTAGTTGTAAAGTAAAGTTGTGCATCATTTCCTAGACGGATGATGTAGTACAAATGACGGCTGAGAATTCCCATAACAACTGCCTGTCTGGTGACTTTCATGTGTTCCTGTTCTCTCTGGGCTTTGTAAACAAAAAAGGAAGTATGGACAGAAATGGAAAGCCCCCAAGATTAATGACTGCTCCATGCACCACTACATACTTTGCTGTGTAAATTCCTAAGATTCTGCCATATGAAGATTGTGTTTTTTGGGAATGGGAAATGGTCAATGCCATTCTAGGAACCATTAGTAATGTTGTTTCAGACCACAAGGAACACAAGGAAGATTTGTTTTGCCCAATAGGCTGTAGATATATTGTAAAATCATTTCATCATCCGAAAACCAGGAAGTGTGCTGTTAGCATGCTAATATTTGGCAGCATTATCGTGACAGAATAGCTCCACCCTGCCCTCTGAAAGTTGGGAAAAGTGCTTATAAACTCATTGCGTTAAATAATTAAGTTTCTATCCGTTAGGAAAATGAAACCTTCCACACAGAGATGTGGTCTGGCAATATTTGTTCACAAACTTACAAGAATCTATCTTGACATACAGTCCAATGAGGTTCATTTGGTCTTCCGATAATTCATGTTATTAAGTTATTTTTTAGACCAAGAGTTTGTTTTCATACATGACAGTTTCAACTGCTCACTGGTGGTCTTCCTCAGAGTGGTCACGTAATGTTGCTGTGACGTGTCCAGTTAGCAGATTTAAACAGGTTTTGGTGCTGTCTTCCTACCGGTGGAGGCAGGACGATCCCAGGTGTGTGAGAGTACTCACACACCTGGGATACTGTCCTGAGGAAGTCAAACTGCAGATGGAGCTGTCGTCCTGCCTCCACCGGTAGGAGGACATTCGCCAAAACCTGTTTAAATCAGCTGACGGGACACGTCACAGCAGCATCACGTGACCACTCTGAGGAAGACCACTAGTGAGCAGTCGAAACTGTCAGGTATGAAAACAAACTCTTTGTCTGAAAAAAAAACCCTAATAACATATCTTGACATACTCACGCTGTAAGGCTAAAATTCACTGGAGAAGCAGTCTGTGTAGAAACAGAATCAAAACAATTATGGTGACACTGACAGACGTCCTTCAGCCTTTTCAGCGAAAATACAGACAATTTTGTTGAAAAAATGTGCAAAGGCACTTTGTACATTTGTGGAAAAATGGGGGGAAATGTCTATGGTTTTCTGTCAACTGGATGTAACAAAAGTTTGATATTTTGGCTTGTTCCGCTATTATGACGTTTCGACCAATCAGATTGAAATAATCGTCATGGCGTTCCGCATTTTCCTGATTGCTTTCATCAAGAGCCATTCCAGACTGATAAATTTGTAGAACTCAATCCAGAGTGCTAGACATCAATCTGGAGTGAGCCAGGTTAGGGAAAATGAGGAGTAACTTTGGACCACTGTAAACAGTTTAAAATGAACTTGTTCTGTTCTTGTTATAGGTAGGTATTATATATATCCAGGTCATGTCAACATGAAAAATATAGAACTAGAGTAGAGATGTGACATGCAGCACTGGTAAACAAGTGGTCTCTAGAGAGAAAGCTTTTCCACTCCTGTGTCTCATCTGTGGCCACTGGTTTCCTGGTTCTTTTGCCCCCAGTAGACTTCCGTGGCCCCAGCTGAGAACACTGGGATGATTTAAGTGAGAAGATGCAGAAGACTGCATCTTTTGTAGCTAGGGTAAAAAATGCTGAACATATAAGCCTATCAAATGCCTTTGCTATGACTAACTAACTAACTATAGGCGAATCAACGTGGAAGCTGTACTGTATCTACAGTAGATTAGATTTTGAAAATGTTTCAATCTAATGTTTGGTTAGATGAGACTTTTATCAATGCCCAAAAATGAATTTATTTACAGATAATGTTTATGCCTTATGATTTTTATAGATTGAAAATGCTGCTAATATTTTATTGAACATGTTATTATCTTTAAGTCCAATGCTGTACAGGGGTTTATATGAGAGTATGACGATGCATTTGTGTCAACACCGTTATGATCATCACACATCATAGAATTCAGTTAGTCTAATGTTGAACCAGTGGAGAATTTAGCATGTGAAATACTAAACTTTGTATTTTGACACTTTGTTATAAACGTACATCACAGTGAAGAACCAGCAGCTTATCGAGTTGTAAATGGATGTTTTGTTTACTTTTTACCGTGTTTTTTGCTAATTATCTCTGTGGGTGTTTTGCTTGACTCTGAATTGTAATCACACTCACTTCACCACTTGTTAGAAAGAAATGGCAATGAATGAGCACTGTTGAGGGGAAAAAAAGATTTTGTGATAAGAAATGTATTTTCATACGTAGACTGGAAGTGGAAGTGTTCTAGACATAGCCCAAAAGAAAATCTACGGTTTAAAGTGAAGATTTTATCTCTGAGGAAGTACAAAGGGAAGGATGCCACAGGGACTGCAAAGATGACTGTTGGCAGCCAATTTGTAGATTTGCGAAGGCAACAGTAAATTGAGCCAAATTAAACTGAGACAGACGTTAAAAGAGAGATATCTTTAATTAGAGTTAGCACCACTGTCATACACTCCCTTTGACAATGTGTTAGAAAGTGGCCTTACTAATGAGAAAAAACACATGAGCAGATAATTTCAAAAAGCTACAAGACACGTGAATATTGGAAGAAGACAGAGTTTTATACACAAGAATTCTTCAAGGAGAAATATCAGATTCAGTGGTCTGATGATGGGATGAGGGGGAATAAAGTTATTTTATTTTATTTATAATATGCACCACCAGGCCAAGTTATAGGTCAGAACTGTGAAGAGGTGACCAACCTCACAGTAAGAAGTCATGTTTTCTCAGATATTTTCGATGTAGAAAAACACCAGTAATCAAATACATACCAGATAGATCCATTCATTTTGATAGCCATACTATGAAACATTCAGTACAAAGCAATAACATCCCCATGGAGACGAGAAGGTGCATGGCAGACAATCTGTTACAAAAGTTACATGATGTACATTTAAATTTTAAAGGGACCATATTTTTCTGTTTTTTAATCTGTTATAATGTTGTTTCCTCATCACAAAGATAACTGGAGTTTTGTTTCATTCATGTTTAACACACAAACCCTGCGTATTTAGGCTGAGGTTTTTACTCACACTCTGTTCCACATTGTGATGTCATCTGGTAATACAAGAACTTCCCCCCTGTGTTTTTTGAACTCCATACACCTTAACTAGAACCATTTGGATGATTTCAGCCCTGGAATTGCCAATCTCCACTGAAATAAAGGTAAAAGGAGCTGTTAACATGAAAACTACCACTTCATGACATCACAAGGTGGTACAGAGCATGATGAGCTTTGAAGATGTGGACAGACTAACAGGTATGAATGAAACAAAACACAACTCCAGGTATGTTTTTGATGAGGTAACAACATTATAACAACATTATAACATGGCTTAAAGCTCACAAGAGTCTATTTTGTGTAACAGAGGACCTTTAAGGAATAAACTTGACTGACAATGAAAGGATTCCACATAGTTTGATGAAGATGAAAACTCTATTCAGGCAGCATGGTATGGGTATATAATAGTAATTTATAGTAATAAATTACTATAAAGAATCATAAAAAAAGTTGTTGCCGCCTTCATTGTGTACTAGTGAATCCCTGTCAGGAATTACAGTTATAACTTTGATACCCAGATCTAAAGGACTCTGTGTTGCTATGCTAATTCACACTTCTGTATCTTTGTAACATTATGTCATTTCATTTCTTCAAAGCGTTTTCCCTCCGATTGGGAAGTCAGGGGAGTGTGACAAGAGACTGGTGGCATTCATAATTGAACAGCTACACTGCCACATCAGAGTTCCCCGCGTAGCACCAGCCCCAAGATGAGAACAGATGAATGGCAGAACGCTAACCTGCAGCTCCTCTGAGACTGGCTGATTTAACAGGCTGTCAAAATGATACAACGTGAGAAACCAGTATAGGGGCAAAGAAAAGAGCTCAAATAGGCATAAAAGAGCTATTTAAATGTAAGGCTTAGGAGGTTGAGAATCATGATCTCAATATGTCTCAGTGTATTAAACTATGACTATACAAAGTTGTAAAAATATGTGAAAGATTTGGTGGCTTCTTCTGCTTCTGATCAAAGTGAACCTAAAGGTGCTGTACCTGATTTTTACAGTCTTGAAACTTGAAAAACAGAACTACTTCATTTTAAGTTGGTCTAAAGTTAGCCCTCACTTACCTCGCATCCTAATTATTAACAGAAATTAGTTTATAAGCTCTTTTCACATGTTTTAGAGGACAGAGCAGAGTTTTATCATCACAGTAATGCCAACAACAACTATCTGGCTATCAGTGCAATTCCTAATTATCAGACAATAAAAAACCCTTTATAATAAGATGCAGACAGTACAAAGTGGACTTATTTTTATCCCAAGAGCTGTTTACACAATATTCTGTATTTGTACTGGGACAAACTTTGATGAAAGACATGGGGAAAATCAGGTACAGAATTCATGTGTAGCCAGTTGACATTAGGTATTAAAAATGTGTACTGAAACCAAGCCCTCAAAAGTGAATGTATGAATAGACAGACAGACAGACAGACTGACTGACAGTTTATTGATCCCAAGGGAAATTCAAAATTTGTCAGAACCAATAATGAAACAAACATATTATAAAACAACATAATAATAATACAGCAAAGAAGAAAGTGATCCAGTCAAGCCGTTTAATCTTTTGCGTTTTTCAGCACAATCAGGACCACATATTTGCCAAGGCCTTAAGTTATCACCCACCAACTGGAGGTCGGTACACAAGGATACTCAGGATACTGTGCACAGTTGTTGCTGTGTCTCAAGGCGATAAACTCCAGCCTTATTGCACAAAAGAATCTTCAGATGCTTTCTTTTATTGACCTCATATCCATAATCAGAATCACAATTACTTGTATTATGCTCCCAGGGAATATTCTTATGCAGACTACATTTTTATGTGTCCTTAATTTTTTTTCTGTAAAAGGGAAGCTTCAGAGTCTTGACAGCGGTGCCACAAAGAACAGCTTTGAAAGATGTGGGAAACACGCCTCAGCAGGAGCAAAATCTGCAGTGACTGTCATGAACATGAAGAGTAAAGACACTGCATGGCCCACAATAAAACCAGCGCACTAATTACACTCTCTATTGAGGCATTCAGCTGTCATCTGCACCTACTCCCTCGTCACCCAAAAAGCAGACACAACAGGACCATTTACACCTGCAACAGGGTCCCCCAGAGACCATTAAACAAAACCATGTCCAAAATGAATCTGCATACTGTGATGTTTGGCCAAACAGTAAATCCTTCAGGAATTTGAACATGTGTTTTATATATAGACACACACAGGTGGGCAACAGTAGACTGTAGGGTTTGCAAATTCTTAGTGGCTTTTCATTAACATTTTGTTTTCTCTTTTGTCCGCCCTCACCAGCCTAGACTAAGTGCTGCAATACACTCGTAGATACATTTTACCCACAAATGGGATGGAGAAAAGTGTTTGCATTTAAATCAATCTTCAGACCACTTAGACCCTGAACTGATGGTTCTGCCTGATTACAATGTTTTCACAACTGTACAGCTCATCGACTTATACAAACCAACTGCCACAAGAAGGCCAGTTGAGAGTTGCCTGTCAGTACATTTTCAGTTTTGTTTTTTGTTTTTTTTAAATATATATTAACTATACTTTTGTTGAACAAGGGTCTCTGTCCTCAAACAGTGGTTACTATTACTTACTTATTATTACTTATTGTGGGGGTGAAGTTTACATCTGCACCAATAGGTGAGTCCAGCTCATATTTTGCCATGTGGGTTTATTACTAAAATGCTAAAGGCAACTAATAAGACAATTGGTCATAACACATGACCTTTATGCCTTAATGATTTCATTCTAGAGAATTAGATTTGGTCTGCATTTGAAATTACCTTCACGCTTGAGCCCAAGCACCTTGACCAGGTGCCTGGGCTCCCAGTAAGACTCTTAGCCTACATGGATTATTAAAAACAGGCCCTGTCCTTGGAGTATTGCTACTTTGAAAACTATAGGTGATTGTGCGTATTAGAGCATAGAGCAGGTGGCAATAGGCAATAGTCATTGTGTTCCTCAGAAGAAAGTTTCTCACTTAAGGTTTTTTTTTTGTTTTGTTTTTTCAAGTGTCAATCTTAATGTGTTAAACTGATTCTGTCATGACGATAATGACCAAAATGGACCAGGGCATTATCTAGCCTGTATTAGTATGCCAACTGCTGAAGAGGGAAATGTCCGTGCACCAACTGAAGGTTTGAGATCTCGCACATCATAGAACACAGGTGTCCAAGCTCTCAGTGAGACTCAGAGAACAATGAATTATAAATGTACAAGTGTGACAGAGGGTTGAGATGACAGATGCTGCTGGGGCAGATGAAAAATGATGAGGTATCTTAGTGGAAGGAGGACACGATTAGACGCAAATCATTGATCTGGTTAAGTTGGCAGGTACACACATGACACCCAACGTGAAAGATAGTCGATTTCTTTCATGTTCACAACGAGGGAGCGCACATCACACAAGAACCAGAGGTGTAAAAAAGGCGAGCGCTATGGACAATTTCAAATAAATAAAAAACAGTCATGAATTCACTTTTGACGAAACGTTTGCCTTGAGGCAGTTACTAGCACACGATAGCGTTATGGCAGAAAACCTACCACCAAGAAAGCTTACTTTGATGTACAGACCACATCGAGAACTCATGGAGGAGCGTGGGAGACGCACAAGCTCTGAGCTCGCTTCTGTGTCAAGCTCCCACTCCCACATCCAGCCCGAGGTCGCCAATAAAAGAACTGAGTCCATTTTATGTGTTAATGATGGTTCAGAAAAAATATAGTCGGATTTAAAAGTAGGCTAAAACACAGCAGAACCGCTGTGCAAAGAATACGTAGGCTACAACAGAACAATTCAAAGAAAGAGCAACAAGTAGGAAAGCCTGCTTTAATATTTTATTACTTAGGGTATGCGTAAAAAGTAAATTGTTCAAGATAGATAGTACGTTTTTGTAACAAAATGTTAAAGGCAACTAAAATGAAAACAGACCATGAGTACAAAATACTTCTTACCTTTAACGCAGGACGTAGAAACCCATTTGGGCAACATGTGCGTGTGGTAACCCGATGATCAGTGCGCGCTACAGCCGAACACATGCTGAGCTGAAAATCTTCAGTCGAAGCGCAACTGCAGCTCCGTGCGGTGGGACGGGCTCAGTCCACAGTGAGCATCTGTGAGGCGCAGCTCCGCGCGTTGTGGAGGGAGCTCTGAGAGGGAAGTAACCACATCAGTCTAATCAAGGCGCTAGTAACACAGCGACCATTAAACCTGAACTGGCTTCATACAGCTGAAGTTCTTGTGTAGCCTTAATTTTAAAGGAACCTACACACGCGTTTTTTGTTTTCCCTAAAAAAGTACTTTCGAAAAAAGAACAGGTGTTTCATTGAACAGAATTTGGTGGTGTAACTTTTTTAATAGGGTTCTACTCATACACAATGCAACATGCTAAGCTCAGTTATGGTTCATATGCAGCTGCAGGCTAGTGACCAGTACAGGGGGCAAAGCAGGCAAATCATTTTATTTGGAAAAGGATCAAAGCACAATTTAAAGTCTTTTAGCTGCCTCCTCCTGCAAAAGTGATGAAGCCAGATGAAGTCATCTCTGTCATGATGATGTGCTCTCCCCTCTGCCCCAGTGCAGCTGGCTCTTGGTCTCTTTGGTTTTGTAGAGCAGAGGCAGTCTGCAGCTGACAGATCAGCGCAGGCCAGGGGACAATTAGGAACGCGTGGGAGAGACAGCTGGACCTGTTGCCAATTATTCTATAGCCAGGCAGGCTCCATATACACTGTAACAGGAGCAAAATGTACATCCAATACTGCTCTCATACTCGACTTATAAAACATGTTTTTTATTGTAGCAACAACACAAGCCATTGAAAATAACAAATGTTTATCATTTATTTAACATGTAACAAGAGGAGTAAAAGAAAAGTGTCCTTGTGTGAGCAGGTTATGTGGGCGCAGGTGTCTTTAGAGTCCATGGTCAGTAGAATGGCCGTCTCAGCAGCATGCCCTGTAAGTGTTTGACCATGCTGTCAGAGGGCAGCATAAGGCTCATCTTCCCCTCATCCTCCAGCAGCTGCTCAATGTAGCAGGACGAGCCTAGCAGGAGGTGCCCCGTGGCCTGCATGGAGAAGACCGTCCAGCGCAACGCCTCTCTGAAACACAAGGAGGCGGCTACAGTAAAGCACACAAACATTATCATTACGTGGTTTACATGAAAATCTGTTAAGACCGTAATTTTTTTTCTTATTTTAGTGGATTTTGGCCATACAGAGAGTCAAATATGAAAGATATAACAACAGGCATTTAATCCTGATCATGCACTCAAAATAAACAGCAGGGATTACATAACATGCCAAAATTAATCCCACTATAATCAACCTTTATTGTTATCTCTGAACAGCCCATCTCAGTTCTAACCTGCAGTTTGGTGCCACTTTACAAATGCATTCAATCAGAGGAAGAGTGTGGAGCAGAATGCATACAAAAGACAGTATACTCACTTTAATAGTTTTTTAGCAGCATGGCAGCGTAGATCATAGGAGACAGAATAGGCCCCATACAAAGTGGCCTTTACATTCAAACAGCCAATGAAGTCTTTGGGGTTGTTCTTGTAGAGGTCTAATGTGATTTTTGCCACATCTGTCCGGTCCTGCTCACACTTTCTCAGCTGATCCCGGGGGCTGCTCTGTAGAGACAAAAACGGGACAAGGAGGAACATCTTTAACAGAAGCAACAGAACTGCCAAAAGAGACTAGACTGACTATTACTATTGTCTACATCAGGGGTCTCCAACCTGTAGTTGGAGCTACTGGTAGCTCTCCACCCCTGTTCTAGTAGCTCATCAAGGGATTTCTGAATTACATGTATTGTCCTGAATAAGTCAAATTTGATCATTTAAATGCCTAATACCATTGTACATGTATTATTTTGATGCATAACTTTGTACACTAATAAATGGATAATGGTTTAGGTTTTATAGGTATCAGACTGTACCTGATTTAAGTCTCACCGTGGCTCTTTCCTATACTCAATTACTTGTAACCCCTCAGACTAGCTCTCTGACATTTTCATTTTGTAAAGTTAGCTCCCCGGAGGAAAAAAGTGGGAGCTACCTGGTCTACTTGTGTCATTGGTGATGAGACAGTAACCAAAGGATTTCTGTACATGTATCATTTTATATGGATATGAAAAAGTTCTTTCCTCTGTAATCATGAAAGCAAAACAGCAGTATTTTCTGTGGCCAGTATTGTTATTAAGTGATCAAACAAAGCAAGCCCCTCAAGACAATGAACTACACAATTTACAAACCTAATCTAAGCACTGACTCCACCTGGTGGCAAAAAGTCAGAAACACACTCACCAAAAGTGGGCTCCACTTCTGTCCTTTGTCCAAAATCATGAAAACAGTGTTTACAGGCAAAGTCTGAAAGAAATCTTCTGTGTCGATTTCTGTCCCATCTTCGTCCAGCACCAGCGTACTCTCATATGACATGGCCAGCGACTCTTTGACCTGCACCAAGCATATGTAGCCTGTGGTCACCAGCTGAACAAAACAACAGCTTAAAGTCCACTATTTTCTGATCCATGTTATAATGTTTCCTCGTCAAAAACACACCTGGAGTTGTGTTTTCGTTTCATTCATACATGTTCTTCTCTCTAGCCACTTTGTGATATCATGTGGCAATACTCTGTGATGAACAAACTGAAAACTACTGCTTCATGACATCACAAGGTGGAACAGAGCATTTTGAGCCTTGGAGATGTAGAAAGATTAATAATAAAGGATTACTCAAACGTGTGAATGAAACAAAATACAACTCTGGGTACGTTTTTGAGGAGGTACCAACATCCTAACATGGTTTAACAGTCCTTTCCCTCTCTCTACTTCTGTCACCTTGTGAAGCAGGTCCTCCAGCCCGTGTGCGGTGAGACCCTTCTTCGTACTGCGGTCCGCGTTGGTCACCCTGAATGGTTTAGGCCGCGGGGGAACTGTCAAACTCCTGATCACAAGTAGAAAAAAAATATTTAGCTCTGACAGTATTGGTCCATTAGGCTGTATAAATGACAGTTTCTTACTTGGAAAGAGATGAAGGTGCAAGAAGGCTGATGTATTTTGAAGCGTAATCCATTATTGAGTTGTCTACAGTAAATAAAACACAATAAATGAACCCACTAAGATCAAAAAGTAAATAATAATAAATACCCTTATATAATTCTGACAGTCCTATTTGGTCATTTTATCCTGCCATTTGCTCAGAGTACTAGATCAGTCTGTCCACACGATCATAGAGCATGCTCACTTTGTTTCCACATGTTGCGCAACACGACAGGTGAACTTTGAGCTCCTGACTGTTGAGCTGCTTGTCATCTTTTATTGAGCGCTTCTATATCAGCTCACCGACTGACTCTTCTATGACAGCTTTACATTACAGCTGATCAGATAAAGAAATGGTGTGTATGAGATGCGCAAGAATGAGGAAGGGGGAATTTGGCCTGTCACGATAACTAATATATTGAGTTAAATTATAGGAACATTAACTTTTGGGGGGAGTCAATATTTATTGTGGGTACAGTTTGTTTACCAGATGTAGTGTTTTCCTTTGTTTTTCTGTACCAAGATCAAATGAGCTGTAGAGGGTTAAATAAATAACTTTCATGAGTCATTAAATATTAGCAGTTTGTACCTATAAATTATTTTTTATTGCCACTCATATTTAACGTTATTGTACATTTTAGTTTTTGTTTTTTTTGTTTTCATACTTCAAAATGTCTTATTGGGACAGGCCTAGGAACAATATCATAAACTACTATAATCAAACGTTTAGTTGTTATGTCATGTTGTATCATCATATGTTATATTAAACCAATTTAAATGTCCTATATTACGCAAAATTGGGTCATGCACTAGTTGCGTTTTGTTTCATTCACACATGTTTGAGTAACCCTATTAGTTTGTCAGTAAAGGTCAAAATGCTCTGTTCCACCTTATGATCTCATGAATGAAGCAATAGTTTTTAAGTGAACAATTTTACATTTTACCTTTTGTTCAGTGGAGATGGGGAAATTCCAGGGCTGAAATCCAAATCATTATAGTAAAGGTGTATGGGGTTTAAAAGTACAGTGGAGCACTTCTTGTATTACATGACATCACAAGGTGGAGTGTTTGTTTGAGAGAAGAAGGTTTGTGTGTTTAACATGTGTGAATGAAAACACATCTCCGTGTGTAAATGGAAAACCACTTTTTACTTAGTTACCAACATTTAATACATGTATATAAGTTATTTATTTATTCTAATGATGGACTTTTAGCTCTGTCTACTTCAGTGGTACATGAAAAAAGGCAAAAATGTTCAAGAAGTGTAAAGGTAAAGTTTCCTTACCTCTCCAAAGTGTCCAGCGCACTGAGCCTCGCCACGAGACAATCAGCACACGTGCGCCCGCGGGCAGGGTGAGCTCCAAACACTGCGCTGTTTTAAGGTCTAAGCTCATGAAACACAAGATGATTCCTTTTCTATGAGGAAACTTAACCTTTCACACAATTTGTACATGCACAATCACAGATTGAGTCATGTTTACGAACACGGCTATTTGAACATAGCCCACGTGACTAAAGGAGTCCATCTAGTGGATAATTGGTATAAGTGCAGCGGTCTTAATCTGTCCTCCAGTGGGACCCAACCTTATTATACTAGACAAAAATCTGAGTGTAATCTAGTGCATTGTCATTACAAATATATTTTCTTTTTAACTATTCGATGCCCATGCTCTATGTGTGCCAAATTTACTACAAATTTTTTTTCTATTTTTAATACAACCACTATACTCTAAGATTTCACCTTTTAAATCTGAAACCATTAAATTAATAAGTGCTATATTTCCATGGGCATCAACACATGACTTTTCGTTGTAACCTTTAATGATGAGGTAACATTTAAGAACTACTTTTCATCAAAACAGTTAGAAAGTCAAAGATAAAAGAAATAATAAGTGAACTGCAAATCTGATTTTTTATTTAACTCACTTACATTGTGCGGCTGCTGCAGCATCACAGATAAACTACACCAGTGATATCAGCATCCATCTTAAAATAGCTGCAACTTGTCAAATGGATCAAGTACCACAGAACAAAGGTCTATAGAAAGGGTCTGTTGAATTCTCAGAGGTCAATATCCTGCTTCTGTCTTTGTCGTGTTATCGACCATCAAATCCCAGAGTGGTGACGCACACTCATTTTGCCAAGACCTATTCATTTGGGCCTTCATACATGATACAGAATAATGCATGACAGTTATCAGTGCCAATAAATTAGGCTTGTGAAGGAGAAAAAGAAATCAAGTAAGATCAGAGTTGAAAAAGCTGTCAGAAGTGGCTGTTACACCCCCATCACAGTTATTGTTTAACAGGTGCATCCCAATGAACAGGAATAGGTCCACAAAAGTTAATGAATAAAGAATAAATGTACATTAAATTTCATAAAAACAGAA